AGATAATAATGATAAAATAGTTGAGACAGACGGATCATCAATAGGATGGGCAAGAATTTTATATCAGAAGAAACGAAAAGAAGAACCTAAATCTGAAGAAAAAGTTTTAAAAAATGCATCATGTAAATTTAATGATATACAAGCTAGACTTCCAGCTACTGACTTAGAAATTTTAGGAGTTATTAACTCCCTTGAAACATTTTCATTGTTCTTACATGATGAGATATTTACTATTAGAATAGATTGTCAGAATATTGTTTCTCATTATAATAAAATTACTACTAATGAACAAGTAGCCTGATGATGGGTCAATTTTGTTGATTCTATTATAGGAAATGGATTTAGACCAATATTTGATCATATTAAAGGTATGTATAATACTTTAGCAGACATCTTATCCTGTATTATTCATTAACAAGTATGCAATATTTTGGAGCATCATCCTCTAGCAGCAAAAATAATGGTACACCATCACAGGGTGGTAATCCATTAAGCATGAGTAGTCAAGCAAGACTAGTAGTAAATACTTATTATTATAATAGAATTCTAGTACAAGAAGTTGGAATCCTGCTTTAAAATATCGTATTCAAGCATCATTCGCAAATAAACAAAAAGTTATTTTAGACAATTTTTAGAATAGTAGAGCTAATAATGAAAGCATGAGAAAATGGCATGAAAATCTTATTAAAGCCCTTGAGCAAGAGTTTTTAGCATATAATTATGATTATAAAAGAGCAAAACAACAAATGTCTTTTTTGCAGGAAAAACATGAATATTGAAAGAAAGAGTATAATACAATAGTAAAAAAATTTAGAATTATTAATTTAAGCATGATTTTACAAGAAAAAGTGGCTAGTAAGCCCAATTTACTTGAGCATAATAGAGAATTTTCCCTTGAGGAAAAAACTAAACACCCATATTTTCTTCAAACCCTAGCTAGAGACAGGTAGATTTTTACCAGAAGATATTAAGAGTCATATGATTAGATTAAAATATAAGCAAAATACATCTCTTCAATTATACATTCAAGCTTTTCTTTTCAATTTAGACCACATGATGGAAGCATAGCTCCATATGACGACCTCATGATAGAAGAAGTATCATCAACTTCATTTAACATGAAAGATCATCCCAACATATGAAGTATAAGTTTCAACCTTTTGGCTCCATACAGCAATCAAGAAGCAAAACTCCCTTGGCATCATCTGAAAAGAAGAAACAGACTCCTTAGGCAATATAAAAATGAATAAGGACATTATTGTCCAAACACTATAATTTTGTCCTTCCTTATAAATACTTCACTCATTTTGGGCTGAATCAAAAGTCCCCCTTACATGATTCACTATTAATAGGGTCACAGGGTTCTTTTGCGGTAATGGTATGGCATTTTGAGTTGTATGTACAACGTTTCGGGTTGTACGCATGCAAACCAAAATCATATCAAGGGATTAAAAATAAACTTTAAATTGGTTGTTCACCTGAAATTATTCCTCCCCATTATCCGGATCAATCACACTTGAAATGAGCATATTAATGACATGAAATTTTTTTTTTTTTTTTTTTTCAGTGAAATATGCATCTTATGTGAGAGGAAAAAGGCTAAAACGGACAATAAGAAAAAGATTTGAAAAGGAAGGCTATTCTGGCCTATGAATAAGTACCCTATTAAGATAATAGAGCTCGTGACACAAAATGGATTCCAATGTAAATTTCAAACCAGTTAGAGACGTCCGGAGAAACATAAAATTAATCATTAGTCTTTTAATTTAATATAATCAGAACCCAGGAAAACAAACAAACATTTGTCAAACAATAACTAATTAGATGCTGTTTTAAATTTCTTGTACTACTGAAAAATTAGCTGTGCTGCAAATACAAATGGTCCCTCTCTTCAGAAGAAACAAGGAACCTTCTGTGTAGTTTCACACAAAGTGACAGTGATTTTTACTTCCGTCTCCCCACTAGTATTATTTTAATCAAAAGAAATACGTGGAGTAATCTCAATCATACATCTGTCCAAGATTTCTTTCTAAGTGGAGGAAACCAAGTTTATTAAGTAAATCCCAGTAGGAAGATTTTGCAAATGATCCGTGCAAAAAGGTCAACATATATAGGAGGATGCTTAATTAATTGTTCTTTTCATACACTGTCAATATTTTCCGGAGTTTTCTTTCTTCAAGGAAGGCAATGAGGTAAGAAAGGTTGAGAAAGCCTCTGGCTTTATCCTGGTGTCCTTTTTGTTGCCCCTTTTGACCAATGAGAAGCATTATGTCACACTTTGAAAATTACAAAATACCTTGAGCTACCAAGCAGGAGGTCAAAACCAACTCAGATCTTCTACCAAATGTCAAACATTTTTGGGAATGTCAAACATATTACACATCCTTTACATTGAATCCAAGCTATTTTATCTTTTATTTGGAGTTGAGCAAGGACTAAGTGCACTGAATTTTATTTTAGTACAATATGATATTAGTATCACCAGAAAATAACTAACTTGTAAAACTTTTGTTTTTCTGCATACAAATATTTCTTCCACTTGGTTGGTTTGATATTGTCATGCTATTGTCATTTAAAATTTGTAATACAATTACAATCATCTTCTGCAAATATTTAAATTAATTCATCCTATATATACAGAAATTCTCCTATACAGACATCCGGACGTTATTATCAATTTTGTGGACATTATAGATACAACTCTCGTAATCAGTTCTGCTAACAAGTTTTTAGAGTTATCTTTAATAATTGTTGGGTAAGAAAAAAAAATTGAAATTTAGTCCTTGCAGTTCTGACTATACGTAAATGCTTTCAAAGGGGTGAAAAATTCTGTTGCAGTAGTATGCTGATGAAAAATGTGCACAAGAAGATTTTGCCTTAAGTTCATCACGGCAGAAAAAGCAATGTGATAGAATCAAATGTTGAATAGGAACAAGAGAAGGGTAAATGTGTTCACTTTTTAATCATTTTGGCCAAGCAGTCGTGATAAAAGTATAACATTTGACCAGATTAGTATACACTGAAATTACAACTACAAGAACTAAATTTAAATCGAGCTAATACACTGTACGGATCAAGGTGTAATTTAATAATAAATTGACTAAAATTATTTGACCAGTTAACTTGTCTGGTGTAAAAGATAAGCTAATTTGCAGGAGCCTTAGCTGCCTAGTTTCAACTTGTCTTGGCCATCTGAAAAGACAGAGAAGATAATATTTTCTCATAACCAAACATTAAATGTCATAAACCTCTATAGCGCGGGGGCATAACTAAAAATGAATTTTCAATCTATATTACTGTCAATTTGGTTCACTCTTCAGCTAAACTGTATGAATGTCTAATGTCTTTAATCTATTATATTACTTAAGGTTTCATTAGAAGTCAATGTTTTAAACGTGCGCATTGGACGTGTCGAATTTTGAACAAGTGAAAATTCAAAAGTTTGTGTGGTAAACTGAAGGGGGATCAATCCACTTTTTGGTTTCAGGAAGAAGGAAGAGAATGTTTGGTAAATGGGTGATCAACTATGCAATGGCAAGATTTGAAAGAGCAGTTGGAGGCTGCTGCATATTTTAGAACACAACTTTGAATCATTATATGTTAAACCAGAAAGAAAATGACAAAAATGATGACCGCTAGGATGAGGCATGAAGATTAGCATAATTAGATTGAAGAGGATATGTCAACATCCCTAGAATCCCCCACAGAAGAAGATAAGTCAGAGACTACATCAACAACACATGACAAATAGAACCATCATCATATTTTGCTGTCAAATAATGAATTCTGAGCAATTGAATAATAATTCATCTGCCATGAAACCCTTTAAGAAGCAGCATATCAATCAATGACCTAAATTGAATCTAGGAAAAGAACAATAAGATCAATGTATTTAATACCATGGAAGACTCAAGAATTGGCACCAGTGATGCAAATTGAAAACAGGTAGATATATCTTTATTAAAAACTACAAACTAAACTGAAATTACCAGAGCTGCCTATGTTATGGTAGCCTCCGGTAATACTAGACGCTGATGCTGCATAGCTAGACTCAGGAATTCCTTACTGGTTGATAGCATTCAGTATTATTTTGATGACATATAAATCATGAACAATTTGTTTGGTGCAAAAGAAAAATGCATCATCATTTAAAGAATTTGTAATGAATCGTGCTCAATATTGTTCATCTTCATTGGTTTTTCAAATCAGGGCTTGTTTTTTATTTATATTTTTCATTAACTAGGAATGACATCAAAGCCATCCAGCTAAAAATCCAAGCACAACATGGAAAACTTATGGATGCTGCTTTATCTTCCTTGGGTAGACCTATTGAGAACCCCATATGGTGACATAACTTCTCAATAACAAAAATAAACATTACAATTCCATGAAATAAATGACAAATTATCAGATATATCTTCGGCATCTCAATCGAAATACTTGTTTACTATGTGACCAACAACAGCCAAGGACAGCACATCCTCTGCAGTAGCACACAATCTGCAATAGTTCATATATTTTACTTTCGTCACGTTGCGTTTTAGTTTTGTTCAGACAAAAGAAAAACATAATCCAAACCTTAAATCCAAGGAACGCCACCTTATGGCAATGGCATTCTATATCAAATAGAAATCTGACCGCTGGCTTTAGAGCATTTTACAATAATTTATCTATGATATTACTGTCTCCATTCGACGACGACACTTGCACTACCTAATCCTGATTTTGGTGCCAATTTATTTCAAAATGGTTGCTAACTTGCTAGGTTATTTCCTGGTCAGTCGTCATTGCTTGTTCTAGGGAACTAAGAAATAAATCATAATGATAAAAAAAGAATGAAATGACATCACCATTTGAATTACATCTTCCTTGCACCTATAAAACCAGCATGTCTCAGCAATATGTCCAAAACCAATCCTACAATCAAACAATCCTCTTACCTTTTCCCCAGTCTCACTTTCCATCTCCAATTTGGATATTCTTTTGTGTGTATTAGCACAATGGGCAGATCCCCTTCTTGCGATGAACAGAGTGGTTTGAAGAAAGGTCCATGGACTACAGAGGAAGATGAGAAATTGATGGATTATATTGCCAGACATGGCCATGGAAGCTGGAGAGCTCTCCCCAAGCTTGCAGGCCTGAACCGGTGTGGCAAGAGTTGCAGACTAAGGTGGACAAATTACCTCAGGCCAGATATTAAGAGGGGAAAATTCTCCGAAGACGAAGAAAGAGTTATCATCAATCTTCACTCAGTTGTTGGAAACAAGTATGTTAACTTTTCTCCATTTGTACAGTTACTTGTGGAAAATTTTGCAAAACTATAATTTGCTTGAAATTAGAGCTCAACTAAATTGAAGGTGGTGTTAATTTTTTTTTTCTTTTAGGTGGTCAAAGATTGCAACTCATCTTCCGGGGAGAACGGATAATGAAATCAAGAACTACTGGAACACCCACCTGAGAAAGAAGCTGCTACACATGGGGATTGATCCAAACACCCACAAGCCAAGGACTGACCTCAATAACCTTCTGAATCTTTCACAGTTGCTCAGAGCAGCAAATGTTGGGCAGATGAATATGAGTTCTTGGGACAATGCCCTGAGCCTGAGGCTACAAGCAGGAGCAGCCCAACTAGCCAAAATGCAGCTACTGCAACATTTATGCATGCAGGTTGTGAACTCATCAAGTTCTGCTGCTGCTCCTCCTCCTCCACTTCCTAATATTGACATGATGAGCACTTTTGCTTATCAAAATCTCAACCAATTTGGAGGGCAAGCCAACTCATTGGAAGGCTTTGAAGGACATAATAATAGCAATAATAATAATAATAATATTCCTACTTTTGACAACAACATGAGCAGTTACTATGAAGATATGCGGCAGACCAAGAACCCATTTCCTGCATTAGTTTCAGCATCTCCTGGGACTTCTTGCAACACCAACACCAACCAAATGGAAAATAGCATGAGTGGTGATCCTGCAGCAGATTGCTTCTCCACCCACTCTCCCACCACCATCTTTGAGGCTTGGGAGAAGCTCATGGATGATGAAACCAGTGAATCCTACTGGAAAGATATTCTAGAGTAGGTTTTCATTATAGTTATTCCCCCCAAATACTTCTTCATTTGTATTTCTTCTTTATTTTTGGTATAAACATTCTTAATAATCAATTCTACACCAAATTTTCACTTGATATATTTGCTTCCTTTTTACACAACATTAACATTTTTCTTTCTGTTTTGCAGATCAATATCATAAATGCCGTCGTCACGATCTATAGCCGCGCCCTTATAAATTTGAAGAACTTTTGAAGTTCCTACACAAAATTTACTGCATTCATTATTCGTTAATAAGGTTTATTTTTTGTTAAGGTTATAATTATTGTATGATGCAGCTTCTGAACTGATAATACATATATGTAGCTATACCTATGTGAAAAGATATATACCTCCGAATTCTTGTAAACTTTTAGCTAAAGAATTGCCCATTTTCCATTTTCACTGCAGATTTGTTCAATGCTATTTCATAATATCAGATCATTCATTACAAATTGAACTTATGCATAATATCAGATAATTAATTAAGCTTTTGACCATATTATTGCACGTCAAAGTCAACCATGCATGCATATCACCGCCATTTCCACCTTATTCGACGATACATACATACATATAATATATTTCTCTTGATGGGTCTCCGAGTGTCAACATCAGCTGATGAGTGAAGTTAGAAAAAAGTCGATCCCCTCGATGTTATTAATGATTCATTTATGTATAAGTCTAGTCACTAAAAGTCAGATTAGTAGTTACATTTGCAACTGATTAGGTAAGACCAAGATTATTTCCGTTTAATACAAGTTATTGACTGGGGTGCTGAGGAGGAGCCCTTTACCAAGTTCCAACCAAACCACCTAATTAAGTTGAGTTCAGCTTCGAAATTGCCTCATTGGGATAACGACTTAGTTTAGTAACTTAATTAGTATATTAGATATAGTTGTAATTATCAGTGAGGATGAACACTTTCAAGACAGCCAGTTTGCTATATGAATTGTATGAGAATGAGTCACTTTCAAGACACTTTTATTTTTTGTTGTTCGGTCATTTCACCATAAAAACCCTTTTCAATGCTTTAGGCTGGCTGAGTTCGCTTTATTATTTGTATATATGCTATTTTAGAAATAAGAAAAAAATGAGTTGTTCGGGAAGAACAAAACCAACAATTGAGAAATGAGTTGCTGAAGAAAATTGCAAATGCTATTCACCTTTTTGTTGCAAACGCTATTATTCTCATTCGATAGGAAATATAGGAAAACTAAACAACTCTATTAAAAAAGAAAAAGGAAACAAAAAAAGTGTAAAAGTTTAATGAGAGATGAAATAAGGAAAAAAGTAAGACCAGTTTGGTATCTTACTCAAAAAATTAAAATAAAAATTATGATTCTTTTTTTCAAAAAAGGGCTTCTTAGATCTAGGTCCAAAACGATTAGTTGTCATTGGGTTTAGTCCTTGCGTTTTTGGTTTTAGATGTAGGTCCGTTGACATTTATTACTTTTTTTGTTGTGCCGATTTTACCCTTTGAGGTAAATAAGGAAAACACATTGAAAATCTAAATTTAATGCATTATTTCCTTGTAATTGAATTCCAAAATTTGAAATTTGAAATTTTTCCTTGATAATATTCCTAATATATGGATAAAATACAATTTAATCAATAAAAATTTAAGACCCACATATTATACCAATCGATCAGACAAGCACCCACATTAAATTATGTACCTGACATAAAGGTAAATAGTGCTATTATTAGCAACGAAAAATACTTAGTGATAAATCATGTTACCTATAAGTTAGGAACATAAATTAGAAGACTACCTACAAGTCAGATACAAAAATAGGCAAAATAAAATTGTATGTCACCTATAAAAATAAATAAATAATACAAAAAGGTACATAAAATACTATTACACATTGTCGAAAATATGAAACAGCATATATATACCTATGCAATAGGCAATAGGCAATATGACATAAATGATTATTACCCGACTCAAGTCATAAGGGGCAACATTGGAACAAAAAATAATTTTAAAAATAAAATAATAAAAAGACTACATCAAAAAATATTTAAAAAAGAAAGTAATTCTATGTGGCATAAAAGTCAAAGAACTTGGATCAAAGTCACCAAATCTGATGATTAAACCCAACTCCTTAATAGAAATTTGAATCTATATCACCTTTTCTATTTTGTTTATGGTGATGGTCAAGACATTGCCAAAAGAGTTGAAGCCTTTGGCTCAAATACATGCTTGAAGCGACCAGCAAAAGGATTCATATTTTTCGCCTTGGGAATATGAATCGACCACCACAACAATAATGCATTCCTATTATCTCTTTGATGTGTTTCCCCAAAAACAGTCTTAATCAGAAGAGTTAATTAGAATGTTTAGGTGAGAAGGGGCCCTCTCGCGATGGCGTCTGGTTTGGGTTTTCATCTTTTTTGTTTTATCTTCTTTTGTTTTATGTTTTTTTTAATAACTTCTGACTTTTAAAATTAGAATGTTCATTAATTTCCAAAAGCCTGTGATATATATATTTTTTAATTCCATACTTAAACTTGTGTTTTTTTATAATAGTAGAGATACTAGAATAAGTTATTATTATAAATTTCTAAATTTTTTTGGGCTTTTCATAAATAAGCTCATTCTAACATGACATATTATACAAAACTCCATATAGAGCATATTTGGACAGAACAAACCAAAATTGTCATTTGTCATTTTCTAATTGATTCTTATAAAATTTTAATACACTAAGAACCAATTAGAAATAACAAGTGGTAGATTTGAGGGCTTATAAGTGAAACAACTATAGTCATAGGAATATATAAGAACTATGTAATGAGATTGCACACATTGATACTTATCATAATTTATAATCCTAAATATGTTCATGGTCATAGGAGTATCAATTGGGCATTGATATTCCCCCAAGACTAGTACATACAATATCTTCTCTATATATAGAGATGTTCACCCGTTTTGCGTTTACTCCTGTGGTGGAAGGGCAAAGTTCCTCACTGCCTTGTGAACCATTGACTGGTCAACAAGTCAGCTTTCTTTGGTGTGCGAGCGTGCCACTGCTAGCAATGAAGATTCTAGCAGACTTAGTTTAGAATGGATAACTTGCCCCCCAAGTTACTAATTTCTGCAAACAAACGATTGTGAATTTGGGTGAGGAATATCTCTCAAGTAAGTTCTTTTCTTGCCTCAGACTGGTGAGGACTTTAACAATTTATCTCAATATAAAGAGGTTGTTCTGGCCAGAATGGTTGATGGAATTTAAACTGTCTCGGGCAGAACTGCCTTTTACAGAACTATAAAAATAAATATCCATGCTAGAAAGATGAAAAGACAGCTGGAAATTCATTTCTGTCTGGATAAGAGGCTTTGATCCGGGCTGGGCTGGAAATGCCTGGGCTGGACTGGACTGTTGACAACTTCAACTGCTAAGCTTCAGCTGTAAATCGATACCAAAGGTTAATTCTGGCAGAGCTTTAATGTACTTCAAGCTTTGGTGAGGCTTTTGAGTGGGCAGAACTGCTGTTTCTTCAGTCTACAAGGGCAGAAGTGGCTGTTCTCGAGGACTTCAGTGGGCTAGAGACTGCACTGTGAAATTTGTTGAGGTTTTCATGTTTGGGAAAAGCTCAAGCTCTACCTGTCTTGATTCTTTGCTGAACCAAATTTGTAACGAGAGAAATCTCGTTTTTGATTGACTTTTTTCTAAGTCTGAACCTTGGGAATTCTGATCTGAAGCTGGTTTCACTTGGAATTCAAGTGGGCTTTTTGGTTGATTTTTGAGTTGTTTGTTTGTTTGATCGTTTTTGATTGATTGTTGTTGAATTGAGTGTTGTTGAATCTGTTCACCCTCTCCTTTATTTATAAGAGATGTTTAGGTTTAGGGTTTCTTTCTTAAAATAATGGGCGGCAAATCTTTTAAAAAATCTAGAAAGAAATACAAGAGAGAAGAGTTTTAAAATTTTGTCAGATAGGCTCCCATCAATCAATCCTTAAGATCACCTCTCTGTTTTTTTTATAAAGAAAACTTAATCTCCTTACCCAATTTTAACTGCCCCTTGTGAGATTTCATCCGTGATGGTTAGTTTGATTTCTTCAGTTTGAACAATTCCCTGCTTTCCTGCTTATCTCTTTATGAGATTGTAGCTTGCTTATCTCTTGGGAGATCACCTTCTCTGTAAAGTAGAAAAAATCTCTGAATATATATGAGTAAGAGGGATTTGATCTTCAGATTTTCAGAGGTGTCTTTTCCAGTTTGCCAGCCACTGACTCTTCCATTTATCAACTCTGTGCTAGTTGGTTTTGTTAACTTTTCCAAACCTGATAATACAAAGATGTCATGTGGGTTCTAGGATGGATTCCTTTCTTTATCCAAATCGTGTTGGGCTTATTTTCTTTGGAGCCCAAGAGGTTATTTTCAAGGCCCGAGTCTATTGGTCTGGTTTGGGCTAGGCCTTTCTGGATCTTGGGTTTCCTCTTGTTGGGTTGGGTGTGCTAATTTAGGCCCAAACAATGCCCCCTAAGTCTAATCGTTTTTGGAACGGTTTCAGACTTAAATGAGATGGCCATTAAATTGGCGCGTGCTAGTTTCTTTCGTTATCCCACGTCTGCCACGTCTTCCCACTAAGCTAGTGTCCGTGGGAAACTGCTCAGTTACTAGCTCTTTACTAGCTAGTCAATATCAGTTGACGCCTTGTCTTCTCCACGTCCCTGTCTTCTCTTTCCCACGTTTTCGAGCTTCTTTAAAAGAAATTCAAAACCCACTGTTCTTGTTCATCCGAAAACCTAGTACTCCAGACTTCACTCTTTTGAGCTTCTCTTTGACAACTCTCTCTTTGCTAGAACCTGCCTTGCCTTTCCTATTAACTTTCCCTTTTCTAAAACAAGAACAATCCTAAGAAATGTCTTCCCCGAAATCCCGTGCCCAGTCTTCCTCTGTTCCAGTTCCTCCAGATTATATTACCGAGACTGGAATTGACAACCATGCAATAGAGGTTAGGAGCAAACTCCATCCTTTTGCTTAGAAAAACTTATATGAGAATGTCCTTCATTTGTTCGAGAATACTTTGGTGCTGGGGCCTCACTGGTTCGGTCATGTCCCTCCTGAGATGGCAGAACTGATGAAGAAGGATGCTGAAGCTCCTCTATGTTTTGAGAATACTTTTGTTCTGGCTCCTCATTCTTGGGTTAGCAAGAATTTGAGCCGGTCTTTCCCGTCTAGCGAGGTGAGGAATAGTTCAGTGAAATGGGTAGACTGGATTGACAGACTCCTTCCAAGATATGGACCTCACTGGAAGCGGGCTGGTATTTATGACGCCATACTTCTGTCCAAGAAATCTGTCAACAGAGATGAGAACCTGTTTGCTGCTACTCTGTGTTTCTGGAATTCTGCCAGTAATACTTTCGACTTTCGCATAGGCCCCATGGCTCCAACTCTGTTGGACATGGCTAAGATATTTGGGTTTAGGCCCCATGGGAGACCTATTGATGCTGTTGGTGATTATCACAGGAAGAAAAACCAGCAAAAGCTAGCCAAGCCATTCACCATCTCTCCAGCCCTGATCAACCAGAATTGCTCCTTCTCCAATTATCTCAGAAAATTCAGTGCTAAGAAGGACAAGGACCAGCAGCATATGTTGTTCCTTCTGTATTGGCTGAACAGGTTCATTCTACCCAACCGCTCTACTGCAGTTCTGCTTGAGTATAGACACCTAGCAGAAGCTTTGCACAACCACACTGATGTCGGACTCGGGCCTTCAGTTCTGGCTCATCTATTCAAGAACCTGCATACTGCTACCTTGGAGAATCCGCTGAATCTATCTACTCCCGATGCCTTCTGGATGATCCAAATCTGGTTGCAGGTCTATTTCCCTGAATTGAGGTTCCCAGACATAGTTCTGCCTGAGGATCAGGTTCTGGCTCAGCCATTGATGTCGGCAGAAGTGCCCAAGCGTTATATTGAAGAATACCTGATGTTCTTTAGGCACTGTACGAAGAGATCAGCAGCTCAATGGCAAGTGGTGATCAGGAGAACCTATCCTTGGTTCCAGCCTGGATACCCTCTGTTTGAGAAGGAGCCGGAAGAAGAAGCAGCCAGAATTGATTTAAGAAGTTCCTGAGTGTGACCCTCCCAAGAGACCTGCCCCATGGAGGTGGGAAGCCTCCCAATTATCATCTGGGGGCAGAAGTATATCATCCCAACTTTTGTGCAAGGCAACTTGGCTGCCCACAACTTATTCCACTTAAATCCTATAGGAGTTGCAATCGGGCTTCTTCTTGGAGGTATATGGATGAATTGGAGGTGCATAAGGATGCCAGACGCCCTATATCCGTCCTGGGAACCCAACTCCTGCAGTTCTATTGATTTTGACGCAGGAGAGGAGACTCACAGGTTTATGGTGTAGACCATAAAGGACATTAATGCCCAAGTTCTGGAAGGTAGTGTCTTAATTCTGTCTGTTCTGTTTATTTTGTAATGGTGATATCTAACACTTTGTTCTCTCTGGAATAGATCCCCCTTTGACATAGAACGTTGGTGGGCAGTCTGCCCAGGCTGGAGAAGTGTTTGGTAATTTTCTATTCTTCTGCCTCTTCTACCTTTTCCTACTGGATTGGTTTCTGATTTTGTCATTTCTTGTGCAGCTACCTCTGTCATAATTACTGGGGACCTGGAGCTTCCTTCTGGAGAGGAAGAAGAAGAAGAAGAAGATCAACCAGATCAGACTCCCGTCGAGGCCATTCCTGCCCCTAGAAGGAAAAGGAAGGAAACTGCTAAACCCGTAACTTCAGGTGAATTTTGACAGGTCCAAGGTTTTTTTATATTTGTTCTGTCCTGTTCTGGATTATGTTCTGTTTGCCCATTTTCTGTCTGTTGCGGCTGAAGGCCCTTCCCCTCCTCCTATTAAGTCAAAGAGGCTTAGAAAGAGAACATTGATGGAATATATGGCCACAGAGGAAACTGCAACAGTTCCCACTGCCACTTCTGACACGGATGAAGAGCTGAGAAAGGCTTTTGAGGCTGTGGACCAAGAAAAGGAGCTGGAAGAGCTGGAAGAAGTAAGAGAGGGGCCTCAAGAGAAGGCCAAGATAGTGGAAGAAGAGGTGAGTCTTGTTTCTTTAGCAGTATTAGTTTCTGCTGCCTTTTTATTCCCTGTCCTGACTTCTGCCTGTTTGTAGGAGGAGATCCCTACCGAGGTGATAGCAGAGAGCATTGCTTTGGCTCAGAAGCAACAGGAAGACATAGGGGCAGGGCTGACTAGCTCAGAGTTGGCCCTGTTTAAGGATCCAGAGGCAGAACAATCTATCGTTGTTCCAACAGCTGGGGAACAATCAGAGCAATTTGCATCCGAGCCTGTGGAGCAGGTAGAATTACCTGTTGCAGTTCCAGAAGGTGTACTGAAACTGGCTGCAGCTCCCCCTGAAGTGATGGTAATTTTCTTCTTACTCTGCTCTTTATTTTCTGTAATTCTGTTCTAGTTCTGCTTCTTTAACTGTTTCTATTTTTCTAGGTAGAAGTGCCCAGGTCTGCTAGCCTTCTGGCAGTGATGACCAGTCCTTTGAAGCCTTCAATTGTTGCTGTAAGTGTTTATTGCATTTTTTGGGTTTTTCTCTTCTGTTTCTGCGTTTTTTTACTTATGCTTCCTTCTGCAGATGCCTATTTATTCCTTTCCAGGTTCATCTGCCAGGCCTCCTTTGCTGATCCAGAACTGGCAGAGTTTGAAGCTATGGACTTAGATGCCTAGCTAGACAGATTGGAGATGCTCAGCTCTCTTGTAGGTAAGGCAAAATCCAAGGCAGTGGAGGAGGCTATGGAGAGGCTGAAGATCTGGCAGTCTACTCAACTGGAGCTGGATGAGGGTAGGGAAGCCATTGACCAGCTGATGAAGGATCTGGACCTGCTGCACAAACAGAACAATGGCCCCAAAGCCTATTCTTGAAATGAGCCTTGGTTTGGCAAGGGATGTGCTCATCCTTCACGACCGTTATGAGGATCTCAAGCCCACTTTCAAAACCTCTGAGTTCTGCAAGGCTACTCATGAAGCCAACTTGGCTTATTTTGTAAAGCAGAAGGCAGAACTGGATCAGATGGTGGCGGGGTATAAGGAAGCCAAAGCCACTGCAGACAAATTGGAGAAGCAGATTGCAGAGCTTCAAAAGCAGCTGGCAGAGTGCAGGGAAGTGCAGAATAGGATCGGGGCTGGACTGAGCTCCAAGACTAAGGCTACCTTCCTTGTGCAGAGCATGATTGCAGCTTCTAGGCCAGCCTTGGAGATTGCAGAGGCTTCAATCCATCAGGGGGTGCTGCTTCAAAAAGAACTTTACATTAAAAAGACCAACTTGCAAGAAACTCTCAAGAAATTAGGGTTTTGATTTTGTTAGTTTATTTATGCTTTTAGTTTTTGCTTTATGATGAACAATTTGCTATGGGGAAGGGCCCATGGCTATTTATTTTAAATAAAGTTTATTTTTGTTGCAATTTTGGTTTTTAATTTCTTTTGACGAAATAAACAGCAGTGGTAAAAAAAACGAAAGCAAAATAAACTGTAAACATCTTGGATTAGAAATAAATTCTGGATAGAATCTGAAATAAACAGTTTTCAGTGTTGTTCCTTCTCTATCCCGGGATCTGTCTGTATGGCTTGTGAGTCCCACATAGTTGGGAAAAACATTTTCAACCGTTTGCCATTGATTGGGGCAGCGTAAACTTCCCCTTCTCGATCCTGCAACCTGTATGCCCCCATTCCAAGGATCTGATTGATTATGAAAGAGTCTTCCCATGTGGGTGACCATTTTTCATAACCAGCCACATGTGTTCCAAGGGGCAGAACCGCTTTCCAGACTATCTCTCCTTCTTCAAAACTCTTGTTCTTGACTCTTTTCTTATAAGCCCTCGACACAGCTTGCTTTCCTGCCAGGAGTTTATTAAGGGTGTCAATTCTGCTTGCATCCAATTCTTCAAGTTCTAGCAGCATGGCTTGAGAGTAGTTTTCTCCTACCAGATCATGTTGGTGAGCAATTCTGAGGGACTGAATAGCTATCTCCCTAGGCAGAATTGCATCATGACCCTAGGTTAATGCATAGGGGGTCATGCTAGTTGCTTCTCTTTTTGAAGTTTTATATGCCCATAGAGTTTCTGACAACTTCTCATGCCACTACTTTGGATTCTTCTCAAGCATTTTTCTGATAATGTTGATGATTACCTTGTTGCTTGATTCTGCCTGCCCGTTAGCTTGAGCATAATAGGGAGTGGATTGAAGCAGCCTGAATTTGAATGCCTCTGCCATATCCAGCATTTCTCCAGATATGAAAAAAGATCCTCTGTCAGTTGTGATTGATTCTGGGATGCCAAATTTCTATATAATCTGTTCTTCTATGAAAGTGATGATCTCTTGAGATGTAGTGGTTTTAACAGGCTTGGCTTCTACCCACTTAGTGAAATAGTATGTGGGAACAATGATAAAACAGTGCTGCTAGCTGCTGGCTGGATAGATCTTGCCAATAAGGTCCATTGCCCATCCTCTAAAGGGCCATGACTTTACCATTGGATTCATGGGAACTGAAGGAGCCTGCTGGATTGGGCCGTATCTTTGACAAGACTCATACCCCTTGGAATAGTTAATACAATCTTTTATCATGGTTGGCCAGAAGTAGCCATACCTTCTAATTAACCAGCACATTTTCCTCCCACCTTGATGAGCTCCACAGATTCCTTCATGAGTTTCCCCCATGACTTTCATGTATTCTTTCTTTCCGAGGCACCTTAAAAGTACCTCATCCTTACTCTTTCGGACCAAATCTTCATTCCACATAAGGTAGTTCAAAGCCATGATTCTGACTCTCTTCTTAGAGGGCAGAGTTGGATATCGTAAGTAAGTCATGATAGGATTTCTCCAATCATCTTCAGTGATTGCGGCAGAATTGACATCTATTTCCATCCCCCTTGTCAGAACAGATGGTAGGCTTTTCTTCCCTATCTTGATGATTCTTTGTACACAATCTTCAGGCATTTGTATTCCTGTTGCTACCTGAGCCAATTCATTGGCTGCAAAGTTTTCTTCCCTTGGGATATGCTCCCAAGTAACTTCTCTGAATTCTGTCAGAAGATTCCTAGCTGCCACCAAGTAGACGGCTAGAGAATGACTTAGGCACTTGTATTCCCCCGCAATCTGTTTCAAAACAAGCATGGAATCTCCCAAAATTTCCACAGATTGGATTCCTAGTTCTACCAGCATTTCTAAGCCTATGATTAGAGCCTCATATTCTGCTCTGTTGTTGGTGCACTAGAAATCCAATTGAAAAGAGTAATATTGTCTGATTCCAAGCAGTTCTTCCAAAACAATTCCTGCCCCAGAAGCTATATCAGTTTTTGATCCATCAAAGTATAACTTCCAAGGTGTGAGATGGATTGAATAGATAGGAATGTTGAGACAGGTGTGAGCTCTGGTCAATAGATCTGCATTTGCTATGTCCAATGAGTCCATGTTTTCAATCTCTTCCCCAGGATGATCTGCTAGGAACTCTGCCACAACTTGTCCTTTGACAGCTTTTTAAGGAACATATCTGAAGGCAAATTCTGTCAAGGCCAGGGTCCATTTTCCAATTTTGCCTCTCAGCATTGGTCTTGTTAGCATGTATTTGATCAGATCTGTTTTGGCAATGATGTAGATGGTGTATGGCAGCATGTAGTGTCTGAGTTTCACAGCAGTGAAGTACAAGGCTAGGCAAAGTCTTTCAATCGCAGAATATTTTCTTTCCACCTCTGTCAGAGTTATGCTCAGGTAGTAGACTGCATGTTCCTTCCCTTCCTTGTTATCTTGAACCAACAGACTCCCAATGGATACTTCTGATGCAGAAACATAGAGCTTGAGTGGTCTACCACTCTTTGGTGGGGACAGAACTATTAGATTTGAGAGGTAATGCTTGATTCCCACTTGAAGGTCTGTTCATGTTTTAATCTTAACAAAGAGCAGAAAGGCTGGATCTTTCCTGCAGAATTGGATATGAATCTCCTTAGAAAATTAATTTTTCCTAAGAGACTCTGCAATTCTTTCTTGTTCCTTGGCGGCAGAGCTTATATGATGGACTTTGCTTTGTTTCTGTCGATTTCTATGCCTCTCTGGTGGACCAAGAATCCTAGGAAATTTCCTGCTTGAACTCCAAAAATCCACTTCTTTGGGTTCATCTTCAGTTTATGTTGCCTCATTATTAGGAATGCCCTACTTAGATTTGACATGTGGTTTCCCTCCTCTGGGGATTTAATCACTATATCATCGATATAAACTTCCAAAGAATGCCCTATCATATCATGGAAGCCAAAATTCATTGCCCTTTGATAAGTGGCTCCTGCATTTCTCAAACCAAAAGGCATTACAGTGTACTCAAAAGCACCTATATGTCCTGGACACATGAAGGCTGTCTTGTGGATGTCTTCTTCTGCCACCATGATCTAATTGTAACCTGCATTGCCATCCATAAAAGATAGCATCTGGTTGTGGGCAGCTCCATCTATTAGCATGTCTGCCATTGGCATAGGGTACTCATCCTTGAGAGAAGCTTTTTAGATTTCTGTAGTCCACACAGATTATGACCGCCCCGGTTTTCCTTTTCAGAACTGGTACAATATTAGCTAACCAATCAGCATAGATGGCTAGCCTGATGAATCCTGCCTTGAGCAACCTTTCTACTTCTTCCTTGACCTTTAGTTTTGTGTCCTTGGACATTCTTCTTCTGACTTGTTTGACTGGAAGGTATCCCTCTTTGATTGGCAGCTTGTGCTCTACTAATTTCCTGTCTAGTCCTGGCATTTCATGATAATGCCAAGCAAAACAATCTCTGAACTCCTGCAAAAGTGCAATGAGCTCAGCCTTAAGTGGTTCTTTCAATAGTGCGCTAATAAAAGCAGATCTTGGATCATCTTCTGTCCATAAGTTTATTTCTTGTAAAGGATCTTCCACTTCTGGCAGAGAGTCATCCAGCGCTGCTGGCACAAAATCTAACATTTCCTCCTATAATTCTTCTTCCTCCTGGTCTTCCGTGCTTCCATGGGTGAATTCTGCCATATTGATGGCTGGATCCTGCATGAAGAGCTTCTTTTCCTCCCAATATATCAACAATCTTTTTGTAATGGATCGGATTGTTACGGCTCGATCCTTCTCCTGTTGATTGGGACTAAACATCAGAGTTCTGGAAGTTTAGAACAAAAGGTCTATTCCAGTCCTCTAAGGAATTGGTTAGACCATCTTCAAGGAGCCTCTGGGACGTGACACCATGGGGGCGGCCGTTCTGGTTGACTCCAAGGAAAGTGAAAGGACCAAGGTCATCATGATAGTACCTTGCTTCAAAACACATGGCAGAAGGCAGAAATGGCTGTGGATCAGCCTCTACTATCTCCATGTAACCTTCTTGATTCCATAAAGCTAACTGTTGATGAAGAGTGGAAGGAACACATAGACTCTGATGAATCCAGTCTCTGCCAAGTAGTGCATTGTAAGTGGTAGAAGTAGTATCCACCACAAAGAATGCAATCTTCAGCTTCTTGCTTCCTACTATAACATCCACATCTAAGATCCCATGAGTCTTGGTGATGCCCCCTACGAAATTGGTGACAGTCAAGCGAGTTGGAATCAAATCCCTTTCTATTCTGCCCATCTTGCTCAGCATTCTGTGAGGCAGAAGGTTGATGGCTGCACCTCCATCTACCATGATTTTGGGAATAGGAACACCCCTAAAGTTTGCTGACGTAAACAAGGGTCTGAGGTGGTTTGCCATCTCTTTGGTTGGTTTGGAGAAGCAAAGCTGGTCTGCAGCCAGCTTGTTGTCAGTTCCTTCCGTCCTGGGATTGCCTGCTTGCTGTTCTGGCATCTCTTCTGCCAACCTGCATTCAAAACTTTCCTGGGAAAATATATCTCCCTCCAGAGTGCTTTCCTGTCCCTCTGTAGCCCAGAACTTTTCTGACAGAATGAACATCATGTTGATGCCTAGGTTACCTTGTAACAAGTCCTCCAATTCTGCACCAAAGGCCTCAGTTTCTGCATCCAATTCTTCGTCATAATCCATTTGTTCCTCACCGTATTCCTCAGTCCATTCTCCCTGTTCTCCTATTCTCAGGAGTGCATCCTGGTCATCTGCAGATGGCTTATAATCCAGCTGCTCCTCTTCATATTCCTCAGTCCAGTCCTCTTGTCATTCTATTGGAATAGGGTCGGATTTTCCTTCTGGTTGTGGAGTTTTAAGTAGATTTCCTGAGATGGAGGCAGGATGGATAGAAGGTTTCCCTGAAGATTCTGCGTTCATCAGCTTTTGTGGCTGGGAGATTGCTTGTTCTGTCTGGGAAAGCATTTATGGCTTTTTCCCTTTTCTGGCAGAATTGGTTTCTGGAAGCATCTGCACATTGGTCTTGTTATTGAGGAATGTGCAGTACTATCTCTGAACCCTCCTCTTTTGAGTACTTCCAGCTCAACCTCACATTTGCACTTGCTGCAGAGCACTACCCCAGCTGAGATAGTTGCCTTTGGTCTCTCAATAGTCTCTTTTGAGACTATTCTGCTCCTACTGGAGCTGGTCTCTGTAGCTGGTCTGCCCCTCTCCTGTTCTGGCCAATTTAAGTTGACAATGTTGACTTGTGGTAGGGGAAAAGGATCTGTTGTGACAGATGAAGGCTTCTTTGCCAGCTTCAGCCTTCTTGCTGTTATTCCTTCCTGTATGACATCTCTGAAAACAACACAACTATTGGTAGAATGATTCCAAGAATTGTGCCATCTGCAATACTATCTGCCCTTGAGTTCTTCTGGCTTGGGCATTCTGTGGGGTGTCTATATTGCTTTTTGCAGCAACATTTCATCAAACAAGGCATCCACCTTGGTCAGATAAAGGAATACACCTTGTTATGCGTCGGTTTGTTTGGAACAAACCCTCCTGTGAATGGTGGTGGCTTTGTAAGAGCCTCACAACTGATGGGGTGATTTAATTTTGCCATTTTTGCCACGGCAATCTCTCTCTCCTCTAGGCCTTCTATGTCTTCTTCTGACTCTACTTCAATCATATGTATTGAAGAAAAATGGGACTTGTAATATGTGCCTTTGGAAGAGTTCTTCTTCTGATGTTCTTCCCTGAGCAGCTCCTCGTACTTGGATGCTTTGTCTGCCAGTTTTGCCAGATCTCCAAACAGCATCCCATCAAATCTTTTTCTCAGAGAGATCTTGAGGGCAGCCTGAGCCATCTGGATAAAGTGTCTTTCTTCCATAGGGATCCGACACTTCATTTTGAGCTTCCTGAACCTGGTTATAAAGTCTTAAGCAGGTTTATCTTCACTCTGCTTGAGGGCAGCAAGGTCACTGATGGTGACCTCTGGCTGAATCCTATAATAGTAATCATGGAAGACACTCTCCATCTGCTCCCAAGTTTGAACAGAATTTGCTGATAGATTGGTGTACCAAGTAAAAGCTTGTCCATAGAGAGAATTCCCGAAAAGCCTTAGCTTTAACAGCGGGTTATTCTCTATGGCTATACACTGGACAGAAAATCTGCCTATGTGCTCGACTGATGAAGCATGGGGATCCTTTCTGTTAAACAAAGTGAAGTTTGGTACTTTGAAACCTGGGGATAAGGGTATCTGATCAATGTAAGCTGGATATGGCTTTCTGTAAGTGGGCCTTTCTCCTCTTCTTGCTTCAGACTCCATCATTTCTCTGATCATTCTTTGCAATGCCCCTACGTCATTTAAAGCATTAATAGGGAGGAGATTCTGCCCTTGTTCTGGTTGGGCGTAATCAATCTTGGGTTCTGCCCTATATGGCCTAGGCAGAACTTCTTCCCTGTGTTCCTCATGTTCTTCCAGATCTGGGTGGTTCCTCCAATTTGCCCCCTGTCTGTTCCTGTCATTGTTAGCAAAAGGGTAGTTTCCCCCTCTGCCTCTCCTTCCTCTTGCAGGTGGAGGGAATGGATTGGGATCCATCCTTCTGGGTCTGTAGGGCAACACTGCTGGCTGTTTAGGGAGAATTGCCAAAGGGTGATCCTGTGGGGCCACCTGTTGTGGAACATGTTGAGGCTCTTGTTGATTCTGCTGAATCTGTCCTGGTGCAGGGCCTTCTAGCCGGATTAGGGCCTGACGTTCTTAGACAGGAAGAGCTCCTCCCCTCTGTCCAGCTTGAATTTCCTCACGTTCTGGCATCCCAGCTATCTGCGCAATAAGAGGATTCTCTAGATATGGCCATGTTAATCCTGGTGGAGGACCATAGGGAAGGTCTAGCTGCTGGACTACAGCATCCGGATTTGGAATTCTGGCCATGGCAGCCTTATGATCCTTTCTGAACTGCCTATTGACTTGCCATTGCATCATGGCTGTCATATTATTTAGAGGGTCCTGGCTCTTTTGTGTTGTGACCTCTTGTCATAACACAAATTCCTGTATCATGTTCATCCTTCTAGAGCTGGTCCTGGATCTTCTGCTCCCTGTGCTGCCATGTGCTGAGTGCCGGGCATCACTGTCCTCTGACTCCAGCCCTTCCCTAAGAGCCACCTGTTTATCTCCATGTCGTGGTGTGGGTTCTGGCTAGAGCTTCCAATATTCATAAACTTGAGAAGAATTCTGTGAGAATATGTATATTGAGAAGTCCCACTGGGCGTGCCAAATTGTTCACCCGTTTGGCGTTTACTCCTGTGGTAGAAGGGCAAAGTTCCCCACTATCAACAAGTCAGCAATGAAGATTCTAGCAGACTTAGTTTAGAATGGATAACTTGCGCCCCAAGTTACTGATTTATGCAAACAAACGATTGTGAATTTGGGTGAGGAATATCTCCCAAGTAAGTTCTTTTCTTGCCTCAGACTGGTGAGGACTTTAACAATTTATCTCAGTATAAAGAGGTTGTTCTGGCCAGAATGGTTGATGGAATTTAAATTGTCTCAGGCAGAACTGCCTTTTACAGAATTATAAAAATAAATATCCATGCTAGAAAGATGAAAGGATAGCTGGAAATTCATTTCTGTCTGGATAGGAGGCTCTGATCCTGGCTGGGCTGGAAATGCCTGGGCTGGACTGGACTGTTGACAACTTTAACTGCTAAGCTTCAGCTGTAAATCGATACCAAAAGTTAATTCTGGCAGAGCTTTAATGTACTTCAAGCTTTGGTGAGGCTTTTGAGTGGGCAGAACTGCGATTTCTTCAGTCTACAAGGGCAGAAGTGGCTATTCTCGAGGACTTCAGTGGGCTAGAGACTGTACTGTGAAATTTTTTGAGATTTTCATGTTTGGGAAAAGCTCAAGCTCTACCTGTCTTGATTCTTTGCTTAACCAAATTTGTAACGAGAGAAATCTCGTTTTTTATTAACTTTTTTCTAAGTCTGAACCTTGGGAATTCTGATCTGAAGCTGGTTTCACTTGGAATTCAAGTGGGCTTTTTAGTTGATTTTTGAGTTGTTTTTTTGTTTGATCTTTTTTGATTGATTGTTGTTGAATTGAGTGTTGTTGAATCTGTTCACCCTCTCCTCTATTTATAAGAGATGTTTAAGTTTAGGGTTTTTTTCTTAAAATAATGGGCGGCAAATCTTTTAAAAAATCTAGAAAGAAATACAAGAGAGAAGAGTTTTAAAATTTTGTCAGATAGGCTCTCATCAATCAATCCTTAATATCACCTCTCTGTTTTTTATAAAGAAAACCTAATCTCCTTTCCCAATTTGAACTGCCCTTTGTGAGATTTCATTCGTGATGGTTAGTTTGATTTCTTCAGTTTGAACAACTCCCTGCTTTCCTGCTTATCTCTTTATGAGATTGGAGCTTGCTTATCTCTTGGGAGAATCACATTCTCTGTAAAGTAGAAAAAATCTCTGAATATATATATGAGTAAGAGGGATTTGCTCTTCAGATTTTCAGAGGTGTCTCTTCCAGTTTGCCAGCCACTGACCCTTCCATTTATCAACTCTGTGCTAGTTGGTTTTGTTGACTTTTCCAAACCTGATAATACAAAGATGTCACGTGAGTTCTAGGATGGGTCCCTTTCTTTATCCAAATCGTGTTGGGCTTATTTTGTTTGGAGCCCAAGAGGCGATTTTCAAGGCCCGAGTCTATTGGTCTGGTTTGGGCTAGGCCTTTCTGGATCTTGGGTTTTCTCTTGTTGGGCTAGGCATTCCAAACAAAAGAATGACGTGGTCTCAAGTCATTGAGTTTAGCGACACCTGGATATATGTGTAGGTGCTTATAGGAGAACAAGTACACTGAATGCGATCAATTGCATGAGTTCTAGAATGAAAGTCTTTACTCACATGTCAAACTAGAAATCATAGATTGCAATGGTGCAAACTAATCCTTAGACTTGTGACTATGTTGTTTGTCATTGAGGACACTATACAGTTGTGTTGTAGAAGACATGACCTAAATGTGTTTATCAAGACTCTCAATAAATTCATGGAGACAAATGAATGTATAACAAGGAATCTCTACAAACTAGGTTTTCGAATGAACAGGAACTTTGAGTTTGAATTTCTTTTAAAGAGCTCGAAGTCGGAGAAGAAGAAGACGATGCGGCACCTGATGATGACTAGTTAAAAAAAACTAGCTAGTAACTGAACACTTTCCTACGAAGTCTAGTTCGTGGTAGGCAGACGTGGTAGACGTGGGTTAACGGAACAAACTAGCACGCACAAATTAATGGCCAATTCATTTAAGTCTAAAACCGTTCCAAAAACTATTCAGACTTAGGGAGCATTGTTTGGGCTCAATTTGGCACACCTAGCCCAAAATCACAAAGCCCATGCCAATTTTGGGCAGCCACCAACATTCCTTTGAAATTGGGCCAAGATTACACACTTAGCCCAACAATGAAGGACCCAGTCCAGGATCTATCCAAACATAAAAACTTGGGCCTCGGAAAAACAGAGAAATGAAGAAATCAGCCCATGACCCCCGGAATCAGAGGCAGACCCACATGACTATCTGAAATAAACTTTGAAAAGTCAATATTTTCAACTGGGTTGATAAAGGGTTAACAAAAGCAGGCAGCTAGGAGGAGACATCTCTGAATCTCTGCCACCAGAAGATCAAAATCATTTTATATATTCAGAAAAATTGTTTCTACTCCAGAGAGGGCACCACCTTTTCAAGGGATACACAGGCTATATTCTCAAAAAGAGATAAGCAGGAAAACATGGAGTTGTTCAAAACTGGAAAATCAAACTAACCATCACGGTTTGAGCTCTCACAAGGGGCAGTTGGAATTAAAGAGGTGGTTCTCTTTCAAAAAACAGGGAAGTGAATGTCTTAAGAACTGACCATTGAGGGCTTATCTGCCAGAAATGATAAAACCCCATTTTTTCCTTGCATTTAAAAATGAAAGATCTTTTGAGAATTCTGCCTCCCATTATTAAAGAAAGAAACCCTACTCCAAAGCATTTCTTATAAATATAGAAGAGGTTGAACAGAGCAAAACACACTCAATCAAACAATCAAAAATCAACCAAAGGCAAAAACTCAAAATGATCACTTGATCACTGAGAACCTTCAAAACATACTGGAGCAACCAAAAGCTCATTTGAGCCACAAAAGAAGCTAGCTATAGATCAGAACTTCCAAGTTCAGACTTAGAGAAATAAGTACTCAGAACAAGACTTTTCTCGTTACAAATTTAGTTCAGCAAAAGCCAAGACAAGCAGAGTTTGAGTTTTCAGAAATATGAAAACCTCAACAAATTTATGGAGAGCCCTGATCAAGCAGAACAGGTACTATAGTGCAGTTCCAGCTCAGTGAGTCCTCAAATCCAGTCATTTATGCCCCTTCTGACTGAAGAGACTGCAGTTCTGCCAGTTCAAAAGCCTCCCAAGGCTTGAAGTAGATTAAAGCTTTGCCAAAATTAAACTTTGGTATCGATTTACAACTGAAGCTAAGCAGTTGAAGTTGTTGACAATTCAGTCCAGCACAGACATACCCAGTCCAACCCGGATCAGAAGCTTCTATCCAAGCAGAAATGGAATTTCAGCCATCTTTTTGTCTTTCTAGAGTTGATTTTTCCCTTTCTAGTTTTGTAAAAGACAGTTCTACCTAAAACAGTCCACTTTATTATAATTTATTCTTGCCAAAACTACCGATCTTGTACTGAGATAAATTGTGAAGTCCTCACCAGTCTGAAGCAAGAAAAAAACTTACTTGGGAGATATTCCTCACCCAAATTCACAATTGCTTGTTTAGAAATCAGTAACTTGGGGCGCAAGTTATCTGTTCCAAAAAAGTCTGCTAGGATTTTTCATTGCTAGCAGTGGCATGCTCGCACACCAAAGAAAGTTGGCTTGTTAACCAGTTAATGGTTTTCAAGGCAATGGGGAATTTTGCCCTTCCATCACAGGAGTAAACACAAAACTGGTGAACAATGGCTTAAAGATATTTTGTGAGCATCAGGGGGAGCGTGCCATCAATAAGATCTTCACACACTGTACTATTTTTCCTTCGTCCAGGTTTTTGTCCCACTGGGTTTTTCATGGCAAGGTTTTAACAAGGCAGTATCGCACGCGTGTCAGTGTTCGATGCATAGAATTTTATGTTACACATGGTTATGCACTCTTTTTTCCTTCGACTAGTTTTTGTCCCACTGGTTTTACTGGCAAGGTTTTTAACAAGGCATACTCCATGCATGATGGACATCCAAGGGGGAGTGTTGTAACCTCAAAGGTTATGGATGCCCACCACAAGTCCATTGTGACTCCTCCATCATACCCATCATTATACCTATCATTATAGAGTTGTAGCCTATGCACTAAATACCATATTTATCATTGGTTATTATGTCTTGTAACCCACTACTTAAGGGTGGTAAATGGTGATGTATTTCATATTCCTATAAATAGTAGGCACTAAAGATGAATAAGATACTTGAGCAGTAAGCTACTCTCACCTTTCATATACTTTCTCTATTTACTTTTACAGGGACTAGAATTTTTTATTTTTTTATTTTTTGCCAAATGAGAAAAAGA